GAAATCCCTGGTGGCTGCGGAGGTGGGAGGGAAGGAGGGGAGGAAGAAGTGAGGAGAGAGATGGCCCGGCACAGTCTGAGGGGGGTGGGTGTTGGGGGTCTGCTCCCACTGGGGACAGAAAACTGGAAGTGGCCTTTGGTGATAGATAGGGATGGGAGGGGCCATCTTAACTCACCCCTGCCTCCAAGCTGCTAACTTCCCCCAGTGTCTCCCCCCTCCCCCACCCCCTTCCCCCACCACGTGCTCACCCCTGAAAAAGGAGGATTTCATAGCTGGTCTCAGTAACTCATTCCAGAAATGAATGAAGTCAAGCAGATAGAAAGATCTCCTTCTGTCTACCCCTAATCTTTCCTGTCTCAGGGTCCAGAGGAGACAGGTCTCCAGGTGTTTTTAACCCACTGGAACTCTAAGGAAATAAGGGGAGGGCTGGGATTGGAACCCAGGCCTTCTGACTCTCTTTTCACTGCTGGAGAGATGAATTCTCATCCTATTGATAAAGGCACCAACCCAGGGTGCTGCTGGTGCCACTGGGCAGGGCCGAGTGACTATGTAACAACTGCTAAGGGCACCCAGTCTGGCACTGGAGGTGGGGGATAAGGGGGAAGGCAGGATGCTAAAACATTACTGGAGACCTTGGCTGGAGATAACTCCTCCAGGGCACAAGATAGAGTGGTTCATGGGTGACAGAAGTTGAGGGAAGTTGGATGGTACTACCTGGCAGGTAAGACAAGAAACAGATGGGCTTTGGGAACCAGAGTTCTCATCTCCAGCCCACCTAGCTGGGCCAGGCTAGGTCCCAGGAGCACATATTGGAATGTCCAAGGGTTCAGACTGGTGCTGCCTCCTTCTCTCCAGCCATCCAGGGAAAGCACCCCAGTAAGGTCACCTTGACAGGCCCATGACCCTCTGTGGCCACGAGGAGGTCCACCAAGCACCATCTCCCAGGCAGCTGCAGAGGATGAGGCCCATCTTACCTATCACTGTCCAAAAACAACTCTTTGGCTCTCCTCTTCATATGTCACCTTGATGGGCTTCTTGTCCCTATCACCCCCCCACCTCCCCGTCTAGAGGATGCTCAACACTCCTGGAGCTTCCAGCAAATCTCAATATGCCTGGGCAACTCCCTATGTTCAAATCTCAGTTCTAAGACTCAAGAGTTGGGAAGCAGCATGGATAGAACAGTGGCAAAATCACTGGCTCGAAGGTCGGAAGTCCTGAGTTCAAATCCTACTTTTCCCACATACCACTGATGGAACCAGCCTTGGATTTGATGGCCTCTTCCTTCTTGCTCTGGGATCCCAATGGGGGGTCTCATGGTGGATCAACCATTGAGTCACTTTGGCTCTGGCCCTCAGCTCCTTCTTCTGCAAAATGGGGCTAATAATAAATGCTCTTTCTACCTCCCAGGCTGGTTGTGAAGAAAGTACTATAGAAATGTGGCTTATTATTATCGTAAGTACTCCACATGATACAGTATATAGTATCGTAAATACTATACGCATTATTCTCATTCCTCATTGATATCATAGTACAGAATGGGAGGGGACCAAGGAAGTAGAATGGCAGCTCCTCAAGGGCAGGAACCATCTCCTTTTTCTCTTAGACTGGTGCAAAGCGCACGAGAAATGCCTCCCGAGACCCTCCTTTTCCAGAGGATGGAACCAAGGCCCAGAGGAGAGCAGGAACGTGCCTTAGGCTACTGGCATGGAACCAAGCTGAGATGGAGCCCAAGTCTTCTGGCCCCTGTGCCGTGACATTACCTCCAAAACTCGTCCAGAAAGAGTCCTGGACTCCAGTTTGGGGATTCCAGGGAGCTGGTCCATGTGGTAGCATGGCAAGGTCAGTGGACTATTAGGGAGACCTTCCCAGGATGATTACCTGCTGCCCCAAACACAGTTCTGGGCACACAGTGACTCAATGCCTCATTCTCCCTTACCTTCATCCCTCCCCGAAAGCCTGCTTCCCCTTACTGATGACCCAACGAACCTCTCCTCTCCAAGGAAGCCCCAGGGCCATCAGAGCATGGAAAGACCAGACCCGTCCCCAACATCTACCCATATCCCCTACCTGGCTGGACTCCATCAGGGCAGGGCATCTAGGGGGAGAGTTTGTCTCTTTGACAGAGACTGGGAGGAAGGATAATCAGTGGCCTGAACCTTGAAAGGTGTCAGGTCCTTGTTAGGTGAGGAGTATTATATACTGGTAAAGAGGCAGGCAGGCAAGAGTTAGAGGCAGACAGAGAGAAACAGAGACAGAGACCCAGAGAGAGAGAGAGAGAGAAAGAGACCCGGAGAAAGACAAAGACAGAGATAGAACACTGAGATGTAAGGACCATGATTTAGGATCACAGGATGAGAGGACAGAACTGGAAGGGACCCTAGAAATCGCAGAATCCAAGCCCCTCGTTCCTCTTTGAACTGTTCCAGCAGGGCAGGGAATCTGAGCCCTGACTGTATATGTGTATGTATATATATATATATATATATATACATACATATATATATATATATATACCAGGACAGGAAGAGCCCTAGAGCCCTTGTCTCAGGTAGGAGATAAGACCAGGTCCTAATCCAAGGGCTGTTACTAACTGTGTGACCTTGGGCAAGTCACTGCCCCCCTATGGGCTTCCATGTCCTCCTCTGCCAAAGGAAGCAGTTGGACTTGACCTCTGACACTCAGCCTCAGTGACCTCTGCGTGTTAAGGTCACTAAGCTGACATTCCTGCTTCTGGACCAGCCCAAGCCAAGGTTATATGGGAGCCTCCTGGCCCTTGAGATCTCCAGGGCATCCTGCCCAGTGTTAACCAACCTCAACATTTCTTAGAACCATCAATGACTCGGAAAGGCCCAGCCCTTCTTGAAAAGGACCACACCCAAGGGAGGTCTGGTCTGAACCCAAGGCCTGAGTTTTTGGCAATCAGCAGCCTCCGTCTGAATCAGCCACCCTGGGGTCAGTAGCTGGGCAAACCTCAGAAGGAGCCTGAACCGCCTGCCCCTTCTCCTGTGGGATTCCTAAGGATGACTGGTGCCCAAGGCTATGGTTATGCCTAATGCTCCCCTTCTCCCCACTGCTTCCCTCTGAGCTTCCCCTGAATTCCCTCCCCACCCCCACCCCCATTCCCCAAAGCACTTCAAATGCAAAGGAGGCCAAGAATGAGCCCAGACCCTGGGCAAGGTCAGCGGGAAGAGGGCACAGGGAGTGAGACCGCGGTAACAGGGCAAGAGGCACATGGCTTCCATGAGGCTGGGTGAAGAATGAAGGGAAGGGGACAGTCAGGAACGCCGGGTCCCATCAGGCAGAATCCCAGCTCAGTCCCTCAGAGGACCCAGGTTCGAATCCCACTCCTGCTAGGGCCGACTCTGTGTAACCACAGATAAATCACTTCCTCTTTCTGGGTCTGTTTTCTCACCTGTACAATGGGGGTAGGGGGAGATGAGCTAGATCACAGGCTCATAGACTCACAGACTTAGAGGTCAGAGTTCAATGTCCTCATTGCATGAGGAAAGTGATGAACAGAAATGCCAAGTGAATAGACCAAGGTCACACAGCTAATAAGAGTAGGAGACAAGATTTGAAGCAAAGTCCTAGCCACACTCATAACCCTGGGGAAAATCCTACTCTTTCTTTCTCTCTTCCTTCCTCCCTTTCTTTCTTTTTCTCTTCCTTCCTTCTTTTCTTTCTTTCTCCCTTCCTTCCTTTTTTTTCTCTCTTTCCCTCATTTTCCCTCCCTATGCAATGGGCATCACGGCCCACATCCTCACTGTCTCCCAGAAACGTTCACATTTCACGAGTGTTCGAAGGCACCCAAGCTGGATCAGAGCCAGAAGGTAGCTGACCTTGGAGATCAGTGAACCTAAGCCCTTTACTGGGCAGAGAAGGAAACTGAGGTCCACAGTGACAACCCAAGGACACAAGGATGTTAAACAGCAGAGCTGGCATTCAAACCCAGGTTCTCTGATGCCTAATCCAGTGCCTATCTGGTCAGGTCTCTTCCCGTTGATTCTCTGGATCTCATGTCAGTGCTCTGCCTCAGGGAGTTCTGGGGAGTTGGGGACAGGACAGGGTCTAGACTCAGGTCTTCCAAGTCCCTTAGAACCACAACTAGACCGGGGGCAGCAGCTTGGCAGTATTGGGGGAGGGTGCAGGGAGCAGTGGAAGGAGGGGCAGACAGAAGGGAATCTCTTGAATGGAGACAGTTCCCTAGAGCCAGTGACTCACAGTCAATGGTAGAACAGGACTGGACCCAGAGGGCTGTGGCCCAGGGCCAGCCAAACCACTTGGAGGCCCATCGTATAGAGTGGAAAGAATCCCACTGAGTTGCCAACTCGTGCAGGCTGAGGTAGAGGTGTGAGTTTTATATTCAAATCAGATAAGAGTAAAGAGGGGAAGGGGATCCCGCTGTCTGACATTTTACTCCTGTTGGGGACTCAGCTTCCTCACAGAATCCACCTGACCTCTCCGGTTCAAACCCAGCTCAGCTCCTCTGGCTAAGGAACCTTCAAAGGTCACTTCCTCCAGAAAGCCTTCCCTGATTACTCCAGGATCCTCTGATCTCCTCCTCTGGCCTCCCACACTGTGGATTGTCTTATCATTCTCTCAGAAGAAGGTGGCACAGTACACAGAGCATCAGACTGGGGAATTGGGGAGATAGGGGGTCAAATCCTGCCTCAGATACTCACTAGCTTTGTGACCCAGTTAAGTTCCTTAATCTCTGTCTGCCTCAGTTTACTCATCATTGAGGGTGATGACAGCATCTACCTCACAGGATTGTTAGGGTGAGGGTCTAATGAAATAATCCATGTAAAGGACTCCATGAACCTTCTATGTAGCACTATTAAGGGCTATAGGGATATTAGCTGTAATTATTGTTGCTCTGACTTCCCCAGATAGACTGTAAGGTCCCAGAGAACAGGGACCATGCCTTAGGATCACAGGATGAGGGAATATAGAACTGGTCGGACGCTGGAGATTACAGAATCCAGGCCACTTATTTCTTCTTGGAATTGTTCCACAGGGACAGGGCAGGAAACCCAGACTCAGAGAGCGATAGTGACTGACCTATGGTCGAACAGCTTAGGGAAGCAGCCACTCGGGGACCAGAGGATCCTCCATATCTCCAGCTGGGAAGCCACTGAGCCCAAATCTCTCAGACGTGGGAAGTGACTTGCCCAGCGTCACATGGAGGGGTACGTATCAGAGCCAGGATTTGAACTCAGCTCCTCTGACTCAGTGGAGCCTGTTGGATTGTAATCCTGGGATGCTCTTGAGGAGGGGGTATTGGAAAAAGCCCTGCTCTGGAAGTGGGTGACGACTGCCCTCACTCTGCTCACTTCCTAAGCCCAAGTCTCCTGTCCCTGGAAAGTTCTACTTGGGCTCTGGGCCCAGGTGATCTGACACTGACCGCCCCAGAGACCTTGGCTCAAAGGTCACCTGACACTTCCTGGGTGACCTTTACCCCCAGACCTTAGTTCCTCACACATAAAATGAGTCCACAGCCTCTACAGCCCCCTCCACCTCTAGATCCAGGGTCCTTGGGCCTTACCGTTTGAGGACGAAGGAGGAGCGCCAGATTTAGGCCTGGAAAGAGTCAGACAGCTAGAGAGGGACTAAGTCCAGCATCCCCACTTTACAGGGAAGCAAACCAAGGCAGAGAGGGAAAGACTCAAGGTGGCCCCAGCAGCACATAGCAGAATGAGTGTCCCCGTCCAGAGCAGGCTGAGTCTATGGGTGGGTGGTAGGTAAAGGCAGAGAAGACTCATTCTCTTTGCCCAGAGCGAGGATGGGCACCCTGAGGGACTGAAAGCTAGCCCACCCTCCTTGACTTCCCCCTGCTCTTTAGGGATAATGGGTGAGGCCTCATTTCTCTCCAGAGGATGGGAGTTGCCCAAGGTGAAGGCTGTCCAGAGTCATCAACAAAAACACCATGCCAGCCTTGGGCTGATCACACTCTAAGGCTTAATAAGTGGGAGGGGAAGGCCCCAGAGCCTCCCCCTCACCCAGATACAGCCTCCCTCCTCCTGCTCCCAGGCACTCAGCTCAGTCTCCCCCCACCTCCATCTCCCCAGGTGACCTTCACTGGCTGGCTATCTCTGGGCCCCAATCACTCATGGGCAGCCAGCCTGCTGAGGGCCCTCCCTCCGGCCCACCTCACGCCTGGCAAAATAGAAACTTTGTGGGCGAAGGACACTAGCTCTGTTGGCAAAACAAAGGGGCTGTCAGTGTTATCTATTAGCGGGCCAAGGAGAAAGATGCAGTCGGCCGACGTTGGAGCTCTGCCGGGACACCCTCCCTTCTGCTGAGACACAGCCCCTCCCTGTTCCAAAGGTGGCATGGCCTGGCACACCAAGCACTGGGCCAGGACCAACCCACCGTTTTCCAGAAACCGGGTCCTCTGATTCCAGTCTCCTAATTCTTCTCACTGCCTCATTTCCTTCTGTCTCCTTGAAAATATTCTTAACTCTAAGGAAGGGACCAAGTCTCATCTCCAGGCTCAGATCAGGGGCTTTCTAGGATCAAGGCTCGTGACTTCTTCCTGCACATCTTCCCATAACCCTCCAGTCCCCCAGGCCCACTCGGATACTCTGCCAGTTACAGCTGAATACAGTCCCTTCTTTCCATCAAAGTCATCACTCTCAGAAGCATCTTACGAAAAGGATTAGTCTGTAAATTGGGGTCAGGATGGAGAACCATCAGAGAAAATAGAACTATCTTGAGGATGAGATGAGTGGAAGCCCAGAAAGGTGACAGGAGGTGTCCAGAGATGTCCAGCAACCCAGGAAAGCTGAGCTGAGATCTCCTATAACAAGAGAGGGAGGCTGGC